TATGTAGTTATAAAAAAAGTTATAATTTAAATCCAAATTTCTCACCTTTCTCATATTATTTGTTTTATGTACATACAGAAAAGAATTAATCTTTCATTCGGCTTAAGTCATTGTTAATCCTCTCTGTGACTTTGCTTTTAATTTCCACAAAGTGATAAATCTACCTTTCGCCTCATTTTTAAATAAATTTAATGGCTTACAAAGTGTGTGTGAAATCCATAGGGACATTTTTTCACTGTTTTATTTTTCAGGCTTAAAATCATACTGCGCTCGCACACTCTTTTCGCACACAGCCTTTGACAGGCACCCAGGACCAATGTAAAAGGCTCGATTACGATCCCAGCGGGCTGCACTGCCTGCCAGCGACCAAGTTTTATTATCAGCCGCGCCAGGAGACAAGGAAGCAGCAGCCACAATAAAACTCATAAAATATGTTTGCCATCAGACTCCAAAGCACAAGTTGTACAGTGATGGAGAAAATAATAGCTTCAACTTGGGATTATTTTAAAAACTATCAGTGTTTAAATAACAAGGTTCCACAGTTTGTAAAGCGTATTAAATCAGTAATATGTTAATTGATATTTATTGGAAGAATGCATTGTTATTCATTTTTAAACCTTTTACAATTCATTATACATATGTTGAACAAATTAAACTGAGTTAAAATGTTATTTCTGAATAAACTATATAGATAGTTGAAAATATTTTACTCCTAAACAAAACGTGTGTTAGTTCTACTCAGTTTCCAACAGATTTGAAATCGAAATTGAATAAGAAATCAGCCTTGATTTCCCGAATAAAAATTTGAATTATAGAATCGAAACGGAAATAATTCATAGTAAGTTTAACATTTTAGGTTTCCTTGATCGAAATTTTTCGACATTTTTATATGACAATTTTTTTAAACAAATCATAATATACAAAAAAAAAATCATAACTAAGTCAAAAATGCATTAATTTTAATGCGGTAACCTTTCCTATGTTCGTTTTTAAAAGGTTTATAAATATTCCTAATAGATTAACATATTTTAAAATTCAAATTTGTATCAATTTTTTAAAATTCAAAATTTGTTTTCGACCTCAGATGGCTAGATCGACTCGGCAGTTGATCCTGCTTGAATATATATATATATATTTATAGGGTTGTAAATGACTGATTTACTGCTTTGCAAGCTTTTGGCTCAAATTCTAATACCCTGCAAAGGTTTCAATATAGAGGTGCTTGTATTTATATTCCCTCGACTGTATGATGGTCGTCAGTATTTGTATTGGCGGCTTTATTCTTCATTTAACAGCCCGCCTCCCCCACGGGAGATTGCTTGGCGGATGGATGCTTGGGCGACCCCCCAGACCGGCCTTTGGCTTTGTTTCGCGGGCCTCTCCTGGCCTGGCCTTTTTATTATGCGCTTCTTTCGGGCTTATTATATTCTGGCTTTACACTCATTTAAACCATTTTACAGTAATTTTGCTTATAGCTAATTTTAAGCTATTGCCCTGTGGCCGCCAACCCCCAAAAAGTCAAAGGAAAACCCATCGTATCCCGCTGCCACCTGCTTTGCGGTTTCCCTGACTTTTTTCTGTTGTTGTTGTTGTTGTTCTTTATGACAGCTATTGCTCCTCGGAGGAAATCATCCGCTTTTTTCCTTCAGTTTATTTTAGCTTTTTGTTTCTGTGGGCTTGCTCGGTTAATTTATTATTTATTAAACTTTTGGCATCCATTAACCAACCGAAAAGTTTTACTTTATAAATTGACAATTTGTTATGTGTCTCTCATCGTTTTGTATTATTTATCTGTGATTTCTTTTGCCCGGAAATTATGATCTATTTTTCATATCGAGCCGTGGGAATTGCACAAATCTCTATGGCACTCTGGCGCCTACATAATTCAGGGGCAGGGCATAAAAATTAAACATTAAGATGGCAAGACGGCACAGTAATCCGAAATCTCTGTCACTTTAGGTGCAGAAGAGAATTATGGATCGGGAGGGGATTTGTTTCGAAACTTGTGCAGCTTAAACGCTGTGCTGGGGTTAAGCTGCCGTCCGGTAAGAGCTACAGCTATGATGCTGGGATGCTGGGGGAAAAAAACAATGAGAAGTGCCACAAAAGCCGCACGGCCTGGCAACAAATTCTAATATTGCTTTTGTTTCTCCACCAGTTTTCTCGGCATCCTTCGGCCGGGCACGCACTCTGGCAGGCCGGACGGCCCTGTTGGCTTCAAATTGAGTTGTGAGCATAAAAAACCCGGGGCAAATGCTCCTGGGGACTTGGTCCAATGCGGCAAAAGTCCACTCCTCCTGCAGAGGCATGCCAAAGATGGACGCTGCAAAGTGGACACAATGGACGATAGAGCACTGCAAGTAAAATGATTGAAAATTCTACAGAAATTTAAGCTTAGTAAATTATATATGTTTAAAGTAATAATTGAAGTATATTTCAGTCACAATAAATAGGTTACCCTTACCTTATTCCCTTGAATTAACTAGTTAACTTTTATATATAGATTTTTTTCTCTGTGTGCATAAACCCTGTTTGTTGTCCAAGTCGCAGTGTGAAGATATTTATGGCCACTGTCCAGGGACTTTAGCTGGTGTTTTGGAGTCTGCTGCATCAGCCATCGTCCAACGGTCATAGACCACTCGCCTTGAGCCCCGCTGGGTTAAGCCGTTTAGGGTTCAATCTCTCAATGGGGTCGAGGTCGATTCCTTGCAGCTAACGCGGCGCATGAGTGATATGTAAACAATCAACAATCCAATTTCATGGCCATTTCAAATTTGAATGCCTCTTAAGGAATAAATTTACTCTTCCATTGAGTGAGAAAAACATTAATTGGTATCAAAGTAAAATTAATTATGATTGAGTTAGAATTTTTATTGCTTTAATAAAAGTTCAACAGCAAAAGATATCTTTAAAAAATATAAGCAACAAGTAGAACTAAATCCCCGGGAATCGATAACCATAAAATGTCAAAATTCATTTAATTAAAACCTGAATAATATGCGATTTAAAGGTTTGTCAAACAGCATTTAGTTTTTGGCGTTGCTTTAAATAAAAATCTGCTATAATTCGGTTTGTGTACAAAGCGCAAATAATCTCACCTGCTAAGCTGGCAGCAGTTTATATTTAGTAATTGAATTATGCAAATCATTTCATGGTAATAAAATATTTGTAGCTTATTTTGTATAAATAATGTAGCAATGGTAAATTTAATCAAGCAAGTGTGTAGCTAAAAGTTAGTTTGTTAAAAAAATAAACGCATGATAATTGATGGAATTAATTCCAAATGAACATATTATCTCGAAAATATGTGTAGTAACTTTAAAGATACCGTAAGTTCATTACAAATTTGATTTGCAAATTAGAAATTAATTTTTTATTAACTCCTAGTTAGATACTAAAAGAAACATCTGAGAAACTTATACTTTATGGTTTAAAGTATAAAAGAAAAATAAATCCCTGCTAAATGGGCAACATTATACTCTTAAATAGTGCAGTTCATCCCACAGACCACTTCACCTGATCCCCTTCGAGAGATAGTCCCCATCGAACCGAGAGCAAACCCACTTGAAATCCACTCTGGAATGTTAACAACATCTCCAGCATGTGCCACCATTCAATTGCAAGTGCAATCGCTGGCTAAGGTAACACGGGGCGGATGAATGATGCCTGTGGAAAGGGGACTTTTTGCAAAATTACTCGCACCACATTCCAGGGATTAACAAATCACCTGCACACACACACACACACACACACACTGGCACTCTGGCACACTCACCTGACTCGTTGTTTACAGCACTTACAAATGAAAATAAACGCATTTCAAGCTAATTAAACAATAAAAGAACGGCAGAAGGGCACACGGCCCCCCGAAAAGCAGCAAATGGAATAACAAAGCAAATAAAAATGGAGACGACGGGGGCGGGGTGGCTGTAATTCGGAAAATAAAAAGTGCACGGCATTGGCATTAGTCGTGGGCGTAGACAGGGGGCGTGGCACCACCGCCCCCACCACCTGACAGCTGACAAACACGCGAGAGCACGGTGGGGGGAACAGCGAGAATATTTGGCAAAAGGTGTTGCCTTTACTTTGACTTTGATTTTATTTGCACCAAAAATAAAACAAAAAAGAAAAACAAAACAAAAAAGAAATTAACAAATATGAAGAACAAGTATATTCAGAATTAAATTAAAACAAATTCAAATTATGTTAACAAATTGTTCTTCTATTTTTTACCTCAATAATTCTTAAATGTTTTATTATAAAGCTTTGCCTATTAGGAACAAATAAAAACCATTTTTAAGAGCTCCTATAAAAACTATTATCGGATCATTTCTCAATTGAAATATCTACTTCATTTTGTAACAAGTTTTATTTATCCAAAATAATATATTCATTCCCATGGTGAAGCGTGAAGCTCTGGAGCGCACAAAAGTAGGCAACAAAGACGGTTGCGATGCGATTGCTGCAGCTCGCTGACGGTGACGACGTGGCACAATGATGTTGCAATTTAATTTGTATTGTCGGCGGGAGTGCAGAGAGGGGAGAAGGAACCAGAGAAGGAGTGGCATGGAATGGAAAGGGATGAATGCCACTGCAGACACAATTGCACTGGCGGCAAAGAGAATGCCAGCTCTGGTGATGATCACGCTGACGATGATGAGGACGACGGTGCTGATGGCAATGGGTGATGAATCCACTTAGACGTCGGGCGCCAGGCAACGGCATCAGGAGCAGGAGCAGCAGCAGCAGGAGCAACATCTACAGCAGCACGGCAGCAACTGGGGCAGCGGCAACAGCAACATCGGTGGAAGCCAGAGTGTCGCCTAATTGAACAGCCAAAGGATGAAATGCAAGACAACGACGCAGCGGACACATGGACACCGAGTGGTGGGTGTGTGTTAACTACTCCAACTACAAATTATATTAGCCCCGAAACCTCATACACTTAAGCGGAAGAAGATTTAATCCAGTTTCAAATGTAACATATACATCACAGAGAATTCCATTAAATCAGCACATATCCATTTTTTTTCAATTTATTTTATAAAAATAGGGTTTTAAAGGCCTAAAAAGCTCTTGGTAGCAACAGAGCCAATGGCGAGCGATCTAATCGCGGCACAGACGCTTCGACGGCGGCTCCTCCTCGTTTGGAGCGATACTCTGCAACAGCTTCGACTCACTGTGTGCCCCGAAAAGAGTCAGAAGCAGGGCTACTCCATAGCCCGTTGCACGTTCCCCCTGAAAGATAGCAAAAATCACATTAAATTCGAATACAATTAATGCGGACTGGAAATCACTTACGCAATGTACGGGAGTGGCCATATCGACGTGCAGCCAAACTCCTGGGTAATCGAATCCAAGGTGGGCAGCAATGAAAAGGCCGGCGCAGGAGGACTGCGCGTTTTGTCGATCCTGCAAAGCGGAAGGGAAATCTCAGTTAGACATGGTGACATATTCGCTCGGATGTGGGTATTCCTTTATGGGAACATCTCCATCCCCGATGTCTCTGTGTATGTGTTTGGTGAGTAGTCGTAGTGGTGGGGGGTATGTTGTGTATGGAACATGCAACAAGCAAAACTTGGCGTCGCTTTATTAAAAAAGCGTCCTGCGGTGCAGCGCAACAAGAAAATATATTTATAGAGATAGATGAACATACACGAGGGCAGTTTGAAAAGAAGACACTGTAGCTAGATAGCTTTGTTTAAAGGTTTTATTTATTTAAACGAAATCAAACTCGTAGAGAGTTCAATTAATGGGTCTTGGCTGAAAACAAAGTCTTGTCGGAGTGCTCAAGGAAATGTTGCTAAGCTAATGTACCTATGCAAATTAAGAAGAAAACATGTTTAGCAACATCTAAGGATGAGATACTGAGAAATACTGTCTATATAAACCTTCTCTTCAAATATCGTTACCAAGTGATATTTAAATCTATATATAAATATTGATATAGAGATATGAACAATTATTTATTTATTTGTACCGTAACAATTCGAATTCGCAAACGAATATTAATTAAAAAACGTGTGGTCACGAATTTAGAAAAAGTAAAAGGTTCTCCTTACTAACTATAATTAAATGTAAAAATTTGCTAATTGACACCATATATTCAAAATCGATAATTATTCTTCAAAAACGAAGATTATGGAAGCATTAAGTCGAGTAAATTATATATATATAGAAGATCTTATTTCTATTTCCTCACTCCTTGACCAAGGCTTTTCATAGCTCACCTCGGGGAGAGTGCTAAGTCTGGGTGTCCTAATGCCTAAATTATATGCCATGCACTGGCAGCTGCGTAACGGAAGCAGTCGCTCTACTAACTTGGGCGGAAATTGCAGCGCTTAAATGCCAAACATAAAGTACACTCTCCGCACACTCACCAAATAAAGGAGGAACCGACGCACACACTCTGCTGACAGTTGGCCAAAAAATGGAGTTAACTGGCAGACTTCACCAGCAGGGGTGGCGGAAGAGAGCGGACACAGGACATGAGCGGACGGCAGGACGACGAGCAGTGAAAATTACATGACAACGCGCTAGCTACCCTCTCAAGATGAAAATCACACACACACACACACGTTGGCAGGAGACGTGCAAACATCGTCCTTCCAGCGGCGGAAGTCAAAAGTCCATTGAAGCAACACAGCCGAGCATCAGAGCATCAGACTTGAAGAATGAAAACTAAAGACCTCTGCTACTACTACTACAACGCACAGAGCAAAAATAGGTTTATAACTAATGCAATAGGAATTTAAAATTTCTTTAAATATATACCAGTTGAAAGAGCTTCTTAGCAAAACCATAAACACGATCTAATTATATACTAAGAAATTTTTAAATAAACTAGGAAAATATGTAAATCATATGCTTTAAATATGCTTAAATATTTTCCATGTGTAACCATTGTTCCTGTGCTAGTTCCTGTTGCTGCTGGTGAAACTCCATTTCATGTCCTAATACTGCACAGCTACTGCTTTCGGTGGTTTTGCAGCTAATAACCCGCTTTTGTTATGAAACTTGCGGCTGTCGCTGCCAACAAGCTCGTCATTTTCATATGAACTTCCCTTAACTGGGAACCAGTCGTTCTTAGATTTGATTTTTCTGTTTATGTAAAGATACTTGAACTTTTTCAGATAAAATTATTCTAGTTTCGGGAATCAACTTTAAATTAAAGACTGGAGTTTCAGGCTGACAAATGTACCAGAAACTTGAATTAACAATCGGTTTGGTACATATATGAAAGGTATTCATAAGTTAACTGTTGGCTTAAATTTGAATTAACCGATTCGGTATCAAAGTATTCTTAAGAATTTTCATAGAGTAATTGAAATAAATGTAAAAACAACCTGCTGCTCTTCCTTAAGGAACTTAAATTAGACAAGTAAAACCTACATCAATAAATTCTGTAACTTTTCTCCAGAATAGCAATCCGAAAATTGAAAAGTCCACAAGGTCTCGTTGTAACTACGGCGCTAATTAAATGTTTAACATTGCCGAGCCTGATCAGTGCCCTCACGCACATCATCAACCCCATGACGGACTGGCGACGAATCGAATCGAATGGAATGGAATCGAAACGGGCTTTCATCAATAATGGGCAGCATTTGTCAACATAATGTCATTAACATTGATTGCATTAGGGGCCCCGGCATTGATTGTGTGTGTCCCTATGATGTGTGCTTGTATCCCTGCCTCGTCCTTTTGTAAATAACGAAGCTACATAACATTCACCGAACCCTCGCTCCACTTGGTCCTAGGCGAAATCTCCACCAGAGTTTGACAATGGGTCGCCGCCGACTAATTGCGGTTTGGAACGTGACCGTGTGAAGGCCACCCCTTGATTGCCTAGACCACCACCATCTCCATCCCCATCCTCATCCTCATCCGGATTCGCGTGCAACATCATCCGCAATCGGTGATGATGCGATTCATTTGCGATTAACTTGAAATTAGCCAGCCGGTGTCATTGTCTCACGTTTAAGCTGCGGTTAGTGAAATTCAATCTGTGACAAACGCATATATGTATATCTATATGTAACTCCCGATTACATCGGTGACGGATTCACGCCCCAGAGCCGTCCACTGGTTGCAAGTATCAATTACGCATTCATTCAATAAGCGAAACGAGTTCAGGCAAGGATTTGCCATCGATGCTGCCATCATTGAATCGTTTCGCTGAAGGCGGCTGCAATTTTTATTCAATTTTCGTAGTGTCACAGCCAGAGAGAGCGCTTAAAAAACTTTATGCCCGCCGGGAAAAATCGCAGAAAAAATATACATATAAAGATATAGCCAAAAGAGTGGCGTCAGCAAAGGAAAAGGAAAATGTTAGGAAATATTCAAAGAGAATGAATGGTATGTAGTGAGCGGGTGGCTCAACATCTTATTCTCACTTTATAATCTATGATTTTTTTAAGTATTAAAATTATAGTAAAATATTGTATCTTCTTAAAGTATTTGGAGGTTTAAAGGATTTAATTAGAAGGTAAGTTCAGGGTTTAAAGGTTTCTTTTACATTTCAAGCAGCCTTACTTATTCGTTTCTAATCCTATTCATGCTTTGTGTTTTATGGCCTATTTATAACGCTTTTAAATTGATATATTGAAGCATCTCTGATGGCTTCGAAAGTTAAACGGAAACCGAGACATAACAAGCGGAAAGATTTGTGTTAACAAAGTCGCCATTGCCATTGCCAGGGACGCCCCTCCAAGTAGGCAACGGAAATGGGAATCATTTCGCAAATTACGTGACTCCATTGCCACGCCCTCACCAAGGACTCAAGTCTCTCTCTCTCACTTTCTCTCTCTGGATCCCTTTCCCCTGGTGAAATCTGCATTTAAACCACTGAGCTTGGGCATTATTTATAAACTGCTGCGGCTTGCTTTAATCAAAAAACTTAACCCCGACGACTAAGCATGACCGCAACAACAACAAGAACAGGACGAGCAAACGGGAGCAAAGGCAAAGGCAAAATTTCCGGCGCCTGGAGGTCGTGCCGTAAAAAAACTTTTTGCCACATAAAAAGTTCAATTTAATTCATTAAACCGCGTAAAAAGTCGCCGTGCAATTGAATTTAAAATGTCGACGCCCAATAAAAATGAACCGGCGTTTTTGGAGCCGAAACAAAAAACAATTACGCATACGACCGGGTGTGCGGCCGGCTGCAACACGTTGCCGAGACACTGCGGATGGAGAATGGGAATGGGTTTATCTAAAATTCATGCTCCCTTCTCGGCGGCAGCATTTTTACGATTTAGCATAAAAATCAATTACCAACAATGGGAAAATTTCACAGTCATAAAACGTCGAGTAACTTTCGACTTAGATTCCTTGGCGGCATCGCCCGGGAAAATTGAGAAACAATTGGAAATGTTTAAGCAAATTTTATTGTCCCGCCGCCGTGTTGCTTATGTTTTACTTATGACACAGTACGTACACCGCCTCCTCATCCGATGCTAAACAGACGCGAAAGCCAAAGACAGACGGAAGGAGGACTGGGCAGGATTTCTGGGGTGGTTTCTAGGTTTGTGGACAGTCGGGTCGCAGTTCAGTCTCGCGGTCATAAAGTTGCCAAAATTTGGGATAATATTATTTTTACTTTCCTCACTTTTTTGTTTGCCTCTCTGCTTAGTGGCTTGGAAGAGGGAATTTTACTTTGGCGCTTTTAAAAAGCCAAACGGCCTAAAGGTTGAAGGCAAAAGCGGCAAGTAATTCCAAGAATATTGTAATTTAATGAGCAGTTGCTCCGGCACTTGAAGCTGAACACATTCCTATCATGCCGTCACTCGATGTTTGTTTTATTATTTTTTCCATTTTGGGATACAAACGAATCTCATAAATATGAAGGAACATTATTTATAGAAACCAAAGACATTGGGAAAGATATAGAAGAGAACCATATAGGGAAGTTTTAACTATATTCATTTGATGTTATTTGATATGTAATTTATTAGGTCAAATCTTATCTCAAGTTCCCTTACAAACTCTTCCATTAAAGGCACTTAAAAACCACCAACACCTTGACCAATTCAACCTTTGCTTTCCAACATTTTAAACCAAAAAGAGACCATGCTAATTATCAGCTTAAGTGGCATCGATTGATTCCCAAGCTCGCTGCGTGTTATCGAAAGCGAGGACATGGCAAATATCACCGCACACCGGGGGATCACAACTCAAAAACGGCGGTCTAACAAATGGGAATCGCTTATTTTTGGTGACCAAATGGATGGATAGATGGATGGATGGCGGGGACATCATCATCCTCTCGGCCACCATCAGCTGCACGGATTCGTGCCAAAATGAGCTGAATGAAGAGCCGCAGAAACGAAAGCCAAAGCCAGCGGCCAACAAAGAACCCTGGCGACCGCTAACAACACTCATAATCCCTCCATTTAGTGGCAAACTAGGGGAAAAGACCCACGAAAAAGGTACCAAGAAAAAACGCGAGGTAACCGGGTGCCAAAAAAGGGAAGAAAAAAACCCCTCCAACCGCTTGCTCATGTAATTTAAACGCAGCGCGTGGGAATTTGCCTCAAAGCCAGCACACCCAGAAAGGGCCACAAAAAAATGCGACGCTGATGGGTGTGATGGGTGGCCAGGTATTTCACCTTTTTCGCATTTAACGTTGAATGCATTTGGAATTTAAAACACTTTATCACAGACACCATTGACAAAGTGCGCGGCGCTGTCACATCAACGGCAGCAGGGGCATGAAGGGGTTAAGGGGAGTAGGTGTTGTTTTCTGTGTGTGTGTGGCATGGGCAAACCTGCACTGGTGTGATATTTTGACTTGATTCCCATCCTTTTTTTGCCCGACGTAGAACTGACGAAAAATCAAACAACCAGCATGCAGGGCAGCTACCAAAGAGTACACTTGAAAGATTATTAACAATTGTTTATTAGAAATTTCTGAATTTTTTCTTAATTTGGATTTACTTTTATTACATTAAAAGGAAACCTATAGAAAGGAGACTGAGATAAACGTCTGTTTTAGATGGAATACAATATTTTCTCTTCAGTATCTAATAAGTTTTGTCCCTTATGAGTTAGGACTTTAAGATCTAGTGCCTTAATTGAAATACAAGTTTTACATTTATAGTTTTTAAGTTGTAACGATTGAAAAAATTAGTGCAAGGACGCTGAAGGGTATCCCAGTGAGCCTGGGACTTGGTTCCTTTCAAGAGATTTAAAAGGAAATTAAAACAAACTCCTTATTTTCAATGTAAAAAGAAACCTTTTGTCATTGAATTTCCATAAAAATACTCTAATCAATCATAAGTAAGAACTGAATGAAATTTAAAATATTTCCTATAAAAGTGTATTCAAACTTTTTCCAGAGCTTCAAGCTCTAACATCTTTGGAATTCGAATATTAAATTTAACCTACAACTATTTTAGTTATTAAACCTCAAAAAGCCACAAAAATTTCCCTTAGTGCAGTTATCGAAAGGGGGCTAGTTGGGCGGTTGGCGATTGGCAGGTAGCCAAAAATTGCCACGCCACTTGACCTGCCTGCCCTTGCCTCTCCATCTACGCACAGCCAGACCCAGACTTGCCCATCCAGCGATCCACCAGCAGCAGCAATTCCTGGGAACCTCTCTGCGTCCTGCGCCCACGGCGTGACAATGATGAATGACCATTGATCCGAAGCGCTTGCGACGTACAATAAGGTAACTCGATTTGGTTGGCTGTTGTGGCAGGAACTGGAACTGGAACCGAGAGGTAGCCCCGGGCCACCGACGCACCTCGCTCCGATGGCCAGCACCCAAAGATGGGTTTATGGCTCGCCGAGTTCCCATCCCCATCCCAATCCCAATCCTCTGGCCTTTCTAATGGTTGCAAAATTGGCTGCTGGCGTAGATTGAACGCCAAAGTTTTTGATACATGCGAGTGCTACATGGGGTCGGAGGGCTGACTATGTGTATGTGTGTGGCATAAATCAGAGTAATACTAATCAATCTTTAAACCAAACATGACGTTCATCATTTTTCCGCAACGGTGCGGTCGAATGTAAGTAAGACAAAAGAACAACATTGAGTGCAAGCGATAAAGTTAATTAAAAATGTGTGTAAAATTTTCTCTAGAGTGCAAAGAAACAAGAAGAAGAAGACAAAAAATCAGGAGGAGAAACCGAAAATGAATTGAAAACAAATGAATAAAGTTACACTGAAACTTGATTAAAACTTTCTCAAAGTCATCCGGTCGGGTGTCTCTCCTCACTTCATATATGTATATCTCAGCGGGAGCCCGGAAAAGTTCCGCTCGGGTGTCTTCGATAATGCATAAATTAAGCCACTTTGGGAATTGATTCCGGGAAAACCTCTGTTAATCTAAGGAAATGCCAAAGGAAAACTGCTTCAAGGGCAGAGTAAAGGGACGCGGATGAGATGACAAACGAAGATAGTTCGATTTAACCGAAATTGTTCGATATTGATAGGCATAAACTTTTCAAATGATAACGAAAGTCTTAAATGTTTCAGCTTGATTTACATGCCAGTCTTCAATGATTTAATTTGATTTTAAAAGTCTCAAAAATGTTATTCTTAATGGATAACTACTTATGTACATTAATTTGAATACCAATATACATTTGAAGTGACAACTATTAAGCGTTATAGGTAAAATGATAATGTTTGTCCCATATAATCTATTGGTTCTAAACAAAAAGAAACTTGAAAGAACATCCTTTTAGGGAGCAGAATAGGCTTGTCTTCTCTCTTATTATTATTATTATTATAATTGTTATTAGAGATACAAATTTTAAGCTCTATTTTCTTAAACAATGTTATCTTTAATTGGTTCTTCTATCAACTGATCAATTGCGAGCAATTGAAGAAAAGGAACCCCCTTCTATAATATATTCCTGGTTCATTTATCAACCTATGTATATGGAATATGAGTAATTAATCTATTCTTTACTTTTATAACCGTTTTTAGAGACAGCTTTGGTAATTTAATCTGGTAATTTAACTTCTGATTTTACCTTCATTTAAAACTAACATCAAACTTGAAGCAAAAAAAATGTTATATTGTAATTATTATAAAACATTTAGCAAATGACTTTTTAGGAAACTGAGTTTCTTAGTGTAAAGGCTTGTGATAATAAAGTGTAAGCTAAAAACCAACTGATTCTTTATGTAATTAAATATTTTTCACATTTCGGAAATCCATACCAAAAGGCATACAATTAAAAATTAACCAAATTCCAGTGCCCCGTTCATTTCATGGTTTTTGCAAGTGAGTTGATGTTGATGAAAGGGATCACTACTACTTGTTTTACTACTTTTCATTTAATAACAGATAATACTTACTGCGACTGAGTTTTTCATATCAGCAACGGCCGATGCAAACTCTGAAAAATGCAGCTCCGGGCAGTAAGGGATCGGAGCCAACAAATCACCGGATTTGCGTCCAGCCTGGAGAGACTTTGCCTCCCACGACTCGGAGTTTGACAATATAGCTCCATGATACTTCCCGGTAGCGATACCCTGTGAAAAACGAATATTGGGGATGTGAGAAATCGCAAATGAAATATTCAATGGCCCCGGGACCGGGAGATATAAATTTAAGAACGATGGTTTGCACCCTCCGGGGAGGGTTTGATAGAAAACAAGCAACAATCAACAAAATGCCAGCAATAAAACTGAACAGCAACTAACAATGTTTGAGGGGGCTGAGGTGGGGTTTTCGGGGCAAGGTGTTGAGCAGCGGAGGCGCCACGAAAATTGCGAGCTTCCGACGCGACCGGCAATAAAAAGGTGCAAGGTTATTTAGCACGAGCAACAAGGACTCCGTGGCGCGTGTTCCACTGCAGCTGGACAAATGAAGGTAGCACCATCAGTGGCAGCAACAAAACGTAGTAACAGGAGCAACAAAACCAGCAGCACTAGAGGCAAATGCACTCGGAAAAGCGAGGAAAACAAATTTATTAACAATAACAACTAATCTGAGCATTAAGTTACTCTAAAGGCTAACAATCTCCTTCTGAAAATTCCCTATCCTGGCTTACAACTATTATTCCTTGATTTGTATTTGGTTAGCAAGTTTACTAATTAATCCATCTTTCTTTCAAGTGTAATTGTGGCAGCCACACACACAGCTGAAAACAACAGCAGAAAAGGTGTAACAAGCAGGGAAACATAAAATGTAAAGGCGAAAAAGTGTTGGCTGCCTGCTTTTTGTTGTTTGCCAGTATTGTTGTTACTGCTGCTCCTGTTGCAGTGGCAGTGGCAGTGGCAGTTGCGCCAATGTTGGCAATTAATATTATTGCATCTCCCATCTAGAGGTGTGGTGTTTGTGTGTGTGTGTGTGAGTGTCTGGGTGTAATGAAATTAAGCACAACAAGCGCCAAAAACGGAATTCTAAACAAAATTGCAACAAAATGTTGAAAACCCGTACAGAATGTGTGTATGGGAAGGAAGTGTGCCTCGATTTTTAGGCTGGGCCTCCAAGGAATTTCCAACGAACAATGCAAACTGTGAGTAGCAGCAGCAGCAACAGGAGGGGGAGCCTGGTGGAGCAGGACCCTGACCAGTTTCGATTTATTTCCCATCGAACCACAAATAACGTAAATTGGCATCATATTTTAAGCAAATTGCAGTCAAGATTTATGGTAATTGTGCGCCATCGCACCAGCTACTCTCGCTGCCACCCCCCGACTCACTGCAGCAGCAACCCAACGACGTGGACCACAAAGAGACGACGAATCCTTTTGCCCCTTGTTGGTCTACCAATCCTGCCGCTTCTGCTGCTATTACTCCAAGTTTCCGGCGAAAAACCAAATTTGCAATTTATTTTTCCAATTAACCTCGTGACTTTTATAAAGCGTGGCATAAATTCTCGCATAACAAGCCAACTCGCATAGCCAAGTACATGCATCCAAGGCCACCCAGCCCACCTGGCCGCAACACTCACTCTTTGCTTTGGAAAATGGTAAAGATCTCGAAACCGAAATTACCTTGAACGTTGGAAAAATAAATTTCGAGCAGCATTAGTGGCGGGAATGTGCATACAATCTGCACAAAGATTAACCTTCAAACGCTATTAGGGAAATGCGAATATGAAATACTAAGAAGATACATTTTTCGGAAGAGTGCTCTCAGTACATAAAGCTCTATGAGAATAAGAAAAAAGGTAAAGCTAGCTCTTATTGCGGCTTCTGAAGCAACAAGTAACTTTCTAGTCTGAAAAGATTTAGTGCATGATTTAGAAGCATTAAGAAATGTCGATAAATATCGATTCAAAGAATGCGAATATTTTAAGTTTAGTTAAGATACATTTCGTTACTATCCTATAATTCAAAGGCAAACTGCAAGGGTATATTAACTTTATCCTCCTGACGAGGAAAACGGCTTATAATAAGAGTTCATAAAAAGGCTACAAAAATCTTATAATCAAACTCACCTGGGCACCCGTAAGCGTGGCCATATCGAGAATTATATTGGCCTTAAGGTCCCTACTAGCGAAAGTAACACCATCAGCCAGAACGAGGCGGCCCTCGGCGTCAGTATTATTAATTTCCACAGTGCGTCCTGAATACAAGGTGTGGATATCATCGGGCCTGCGAATCAAACAAGTTTTATCTTAATAATAACTTTAAAGATAAGTCAAACGTAATCCATACATACCTAGTTGCATTGGGACCTACGGAATTCTCCGCCAGACAGAAGACGGCATGGAGGTTTTCCTTGAATCCACACTTTACAGCAGCGTAGAAGGCACCAAGTATGGCTGCGGCTCCTCCGCAATCGCGCTTCATTCCAGGCATGCCAGTCTTGCTCTTGATGCTCAGGCCACCTGTATCATAGACGATGCCCTTGCCGACGAGAGCTATGGTTTCCTGGGCACGCTTCGGCAGGTGAGACAGGACCACGAGGGCCGGCGGCACAGCTGCAGCCTTGCCCACACCATAAATGCCACCAAAGCCGCGCTCACGCAGCTCTTCGCCACGGATCACTTGAGGCTTTAGGCCCAACTCATCGCCAAGCTCCTCCACAGTCTGGACAAAATGATCGACATTCATTTCGTTGCAAGGCATGTCAACGATGCGTGCCGTCAGCCGGATAGCATGGGCTGTCACATTAAGGCACTTAATTTCGTCTTCGGTCAGCGGTTCGGTTTCCACGCCGCCTTCTTTGTTGATCAGGATAAACTCAACGTTCACGACATTCCTGCCGGTATCCTTGCTACCATCTCCGCATCCAGTTGCCTGCCCATTGCCAGTCTTGCGAGAGTAAAGTGGAAAGGCACGAACGACAGCACAAGCGCTGGCAAACAGATTCTCGCGTTCACAAACCAGGACCACGCTTTCCTCGGAAACATTCAGCACGTGATTCTTTACCAGCCGGGTTACAGCGTGAGCCCGGGAATCCGTATTATGCCGGGACGCCTTCAACGGCAGAGCAGCCAAAGTCGCCAAATCCAGGTAGAGCGAAACCTTATCCGTTGGCGCTGGATGAAGGCTGGCGACGGCATTCAAGAATGTTTCCTCTGTAACACGTTGGTTGAGCTTGCTGGCTAAATCATTGAATTTCAACAGATTGAGGTGGCGCAGCTGACCAATGACCAGCACGGGGTGGACCTGGGGATCCGTGGAGCCCAGCGAGGCGTTAAATTTCAGATCCGTGGCCATCTGGAAGAGAAGTCAGAGTCGAATGAGCAAAGATCTAGTGAGGAATGCCAAGTTAAGCCAAATCTCAGCGATAGGCCACTGTCCCTACAGTAATTATATCTAATCAATGCTAATCTCGGGTTTACCCTGCCATGTGTTGTGGCCCACTTGCTTATCAGTCGACGACTTTGCACTACAATTAATGCACTAACTCATTCCATAAATCACGAGAGCATAAAGCGTAGTGATAATGAAGTGTTTGGGTGTGGTACATACAGAAATATTTATTTATTTTTAAGCTGTACGCTTTGTTATTATGGAGTATACAATGAAATTCGACTGTTAACACAAATATTTATTACATTTTTTATTTAAATAGCATAATTTGATTTTCATAGGTAAACAAGACGATTAATTTAGGTCTGATTTTAGAACAATGATTGAAAACAAAGAAACAGACTGACCTTTTCAGTTTTTAAGGTAAAGGATTTCAGCTAACTCAAGGTTTAGTCGCCTTGATTTAATACGTCAAATCGACACTCGACTACTTTAATTTAAGGTTAGGATTGGCTGAAATAGAGCATTAGAAAAGGAAGCTATTTCTTTTTTTAGGTTTTTGAAAACAATTTTAACCAATTGTTATTTCTGTTAATATTAAGTAACCTTAGCTAACAGCTAAATAGTACATTTGCTTTATTTTTTTCCAACACGACTCCTGGGCTTCCAATAAATTCCAGTGAAACATTGAAAATCAAAGCTGATTATATGTCGCTCCCGTTATATGGAAGCAACAAAATAGCAACAATTTTGAGCGATAAATGAACGCCGCGGCGGCATGACCTTGAATTTCGTGGAACAAGAACAACAAGTGGGTCGTTGACCGATTCGCGGGGGAGGAGGGGGTGTATTCTTTTGATTTTCATAGATTGCAGGCATTTTATGGAAACGAGCGAACAGAAAGCTAGCTATACTCTAAGGAATTATGCAAATGTTGCCTCTATTTATAGACTCTTTGTTCTTTTTTCTATTCATTCGCAAAATACAGGAGAAATATAAATTCGCAAATTTGCACATTTTTCTGCATGTCTCACCTTTCCAATGCGGCGGGTGCTGAAGGTGCGAGCAAGAAGGTTCCGTAATGCCGGGGCGCCGAACAGCAAGCGCATTAAGTGCTTTTTATTCAAACTTCTTCTTTTTGCAGTAAATGCGTTTCTTTTTCTGCTGATTTGACTTGCAAAATTTTTTGGTTGCCGGCTCCTAGAGATGGTAGAGTAAGCACGATAGATCGATGGCCAATTATCGATACCAATAGTGTTTTACCTATACCTGACCATCTGGCAACACTAATTTAATGGAAAGTGCCCATCGCTAACTGGAAATAATGCCAAACAAACGCCTGGGCGGTGAATTTTTAAATTAAACTACAAAAATCAAGAAAACTAAGCTAAATTATGGCCCAAAAGGATATTAATGCTGTCCTTTTAGACTACCATAACCGATTAAAGAGTATGTACGACAAGCAAAACAGCATGGAGCTCCGAGAGTCACGTCTGACCAAGAAAGTCTCCAAATTCCAAGGCAACTTCAGTGAGTTTGTTTAAATTTAATTAAATAATTTGGCTCGATGCATTTTAATTTATGAATTAATTTAACTAGTGTCTGCCAAAGAGGCTTGCATGGCCCAGCAGCGGGACTGCAAGGTGCAGAAGGCACTCCAACAGCGTCGCCACGAGCTAGAGGAGCGAATCTCGTTCGAGAAGCTGCTGGCCGAGGCGCTGGAGGAGACAAGGCAGCGGAATCTAGCCTTGCGCGAAGAGCTGAAGAAGCAGACGTCGCAGATTAGGCAGATCAACAACGAGCTCATGGAATGGTTAGCATTTATAGAGTTTATTGGTAACCAAGAGTCGAACCTGGTGCTTCTTATCTTTATCAACATAGAAACTATTCTATATCTTCCAATATTTAAATGTAAATGCATCGAATTGTGTAATGTGTAAAGCCTCAATTATGATATATTCCTCATAATGTTTGTTCTATATGACTTAATTAATGACACATATTCTCCTTTGTTTATATTTTTATAGCATTCACACACTGAAAACGACAACGGGAACATATATAAATCAAGAAGCTTTGCCGGCACGTGTGAAAGGTGTCGTTGCACGCAGAGACTCTGATGGCGATCTATGGATACCATTCGATCTGGCGGCGACGGATGCCGAAGGCTTTGAGACCCTCTTCCAGAAGCTTCAGAATGCAAATGTTGACATTGAAAAGTGGCGACAACTCGTCTCGTTGGCAGCGGATTTCTCTGCCGAGTCGAGGTCATCCACCACCCCGCGCAAGGACGATGCCAAGTGCAGTCCCATAATAGAGATCGATCTCACCTCGCCACCAAATCAAGCCTAACTTCCGGACTATTGGATTATTGCTCCATCGGAACTGCACATCAAAATTTAATGATTGAGGTCAGAATATTAGCACAATAAATCCGAGTTGCAATTTCAATTAATCTCCTTAAACAATCATTTTAAGCGTGTTGCACTAGTTTACTTAAATGCAGTCAAAATCATAAATATGAATTGATAAGTAAATGAATGAATTTTAAGTGAAGAAAATAAAGTAAAGGGGTTATGCCTCTGAAGTATATGAAAACAATTCATTTATGTCTATCCCAGCTCGTATTCATTTATCGTTTCTTAAAAATATTCAAAAATAACCTTTAATATTTTATTATTAAATTATTAAAATTAAATTTTATTATTTGAATACATTACTTTGTATATTTTCTCCAACGAATTGGAGATATCTCCAAAGACTTCATTATGTCAAAATAGGAGATATCGCCGATTTGAGACTTTAATGCCTATAAAACTAGTTTTCAAAAAGATGATACATAATTTATGCGCTAGTATGTAGTGATTAGCAATGTATGATTTTTTAAAAGAAGTTACAAACGTATTTTTATTAAATACATACAGTGATAGAATTCTAAAAATATTTTCTAAATCTGCCGACAATTTTTTAATTGTATATTTTATACAATTATTGATTCGAGATGATTGATCGATTTTTAAATAATAACACTTGCACAACGAGAACTTGAATACTTACAACTCAGGTAATTAACAGCGGATGCCAAGTTATTATAATATTAAGTTTATTTGCTAACTAGATTTCTCTAATAATATATATATATATAAGTAAATATATTTGGCATTCCGGCTTTGACCGCGACTGTCAATGAAATCTCGACAAAAAAAATACACAAAAAGCAAGACAAAGTTAGTGGACCGTCCGACCGACCGATCGGCCGACAGGCTAACCGATGCGATTTAAGTATAAACACCGATCTATGTATATAGATTGGCGTTGTTTAATTGCCATTGTCCGGCGAAAGTGTGAGTGACTTATCATCGCACGGAGACCTCTATAAAAACGCAGCTGCACGGTGGAGGCGCAATCAGTCGGTGGACGGACTCCAAAATGATCACGGTACTTCTCCTGGCGCTGTGCACTGCGGCGTTCCTCTGCCTGGCATATCGTTATGCCTGGTATCGACCCGCCGGCTTTCCACCGGGTTCGTCATCATCTCGTCACTCCTCGAGGATCTGCAGGACCTAATTGGATTATTCACAGGTCCGCCGCGGATTCCGCTTTTCGGGAGCTATCTCTTCATGTTGATGATCAACTTCAAGTACCTGCACAAGGCGGCTCTCACCCTCAGTCGGTGGTACAAGTCCGATATAATCGGGCTGCACGTTGGATCCTTCCAGGTCGCTGTCGTCCACAATGCCGAGGGAGTACGCGAGATTCTTAATAACAAGGTATTTGACGGACGCCCCGGAATCTTTGTGGCCGCCATGCGTGATCCCGGCGATGATATACGAGGTGAGATCAGAGGGCCTGCCCACTTATATGTAAATGGCTTTGGGGGCTCATATTGGGGTCAATCGCAAATTAATTGTGGCGAACAAAACAAATGTTATCACTTGATAACACAAGGCACATTTAGGCTACTGCGTCTAAAGACTATTTAAACAATTAAATCGGTTTCAAGCACAGTGCTTTCGATAAGGTTTTGTTGTGTGCTAAAAATTAAGGTACTCAAATATAGGATAGTGTTTTCCAAAACAATATAGAATTAGGTTCTATCTAGTTCTTGTCAAAAACAAGCAACCGATATGTTTTAGAAAAAAACCATCTCCTTGGCAATGTCCAAAGAAGAGCAGATGAACTTGTGAAATGTATTCATATTTTTAATGCTACTAACCGCTTAGCGTAATGCAAATACCGTCTATAAATATTTATTTTTATGCATATTACGCATATTATTTAGTAAATAATATGTAACAAACGAAAAACAAACCAGAGCGTCAAAATGGACTAAAAATAAATATAATGTCTACAGATAAGGATTATGCCATAAGTTTCGCTTTCATTTGTCTGAATTGCCATTTGCGATGAGATTAAGGTTAGCAACAAGCTTTCTTTTCACTGATACTAAAAACTATTTACTGATTACCTACAATTCCTATCTCCACTTAGGCATCTTCTTCCAGGAAGGACCCCTGTGGAAGGAGCAGCGCCGCTTTATCCTGCGATATCTTCGAGACTTTGGATTCGGACGGCGCTTTGAGCAACTGGAACTGGTCATTCAGGAGCAGCTGACTGACATGCTGGACCTCATCCGTAACGGACCAAAGCATCAACACGAACACCACATGGTTAAGCCCGGAGGATACCGGGTGCTTCTGCCTCTGCTTTTTAACCCCTTCTCGGCGAACTGTCATTTCCATATCGTGTACAATGAATGCCAGAGTCGGGAGGAGATGGCTCGTTTGGTTGAGCTCTGCCAGATGGGCATTCAGTTCCAGCGGAACGCGGACGACTACGGCCGGATGATAAGTATCATGCCTTGGATCCGGCACATCTGGCCCGAGTGGAGTGGCTACAGGATACTCAATGAGTCCAATGTGTTTGTCCACAAGTATTTTTCCGACATCGTGGATCGAGCCCTGGAGACCTACGAGGAAGGTGTGGAGCGTCACTTCATGGATGTGTATATCGCCGAGATGCGTCGCTCTCCGGGGTACGGTTTCAATCGGGAGCAGTTCATCATGGGCCTGGTGGACTTCTCCTTTCCCGCCTTCACCGCCATTGGAGTGCAGTTGTCGCTGCTCGTTCAGTATCTCATGTTATATCCGGAGGTGACCCAACGGATACAGCGCGAGATAGACGAGGTGGTCGGCTGCGGTCGACTGCCCTCTTTGGAGGATCGAAAGAACCTACCCTTCACGGAGGCCACCGTTCGCGAGGGCCTGCGGATAGAAACTCTGGTGCCCTCGGATGTGCCGCATAAGGCACTGGAGGACACCGAGCTGCTGGGTTACAGGATTCCCAAGGTGAGTACATTACTTTCATTACAAATGTAACCATTTAGAATGTTTCGAGATCTTTCTCTAGGATACCATTGTCATACCCAGTCTTTATGCTTTCCATTCGGATGCCCGCGTCTGGTCGGATCCAGAGCAGTTCCGGCCGGAGAGGTTCCTTGATGCAGATGGCAAGCTCAGCCTGAAGCTGGATGTCTCGCTGCCGTTTGGAGCAGGAAAGCGGCTATGTGCCGGTGAGACCTTTGCCAGGAATATGCTCTTCCTGATGACGGCAACCATGTGCCAGCACTTTGACTTTGTCCTCGCACCAGGCGACAAACTACCCGATCTGTCCCAGAACCTCAACGGGCTGATTATCTCGCCACCTGATTTCTGGGTGCAGCTGCAGGATCGCCATTGAACTGAGCCCGACCAGTAGTCGGGTCGATTGACATTTAGATTAAGCAAGATCTTAGATTAAAAGACGAAATTTTATTTTTAAGAAATCATAAAGCCCTAAGTGTATACCTTAAATTACTTCCGATTTAAGAATAATCAATTCCTTTTGGAAATTTCCATAAAAAACACCTCAAGTCACAACTAAGCTAAACACGCTATAAATAGTTGCTGCTACTATAAACTCTGTATTTGTATTAGGGTGACGAACTAGTACTTGTATTTAAAACTGCGCATGGAATTAGTTGTCGCTGCCGTCTTCCCAGGTGTCTTCCAGGAACTGATGTGAAATCTCCGACGTATGCTGAGAATCTTCATCCTCATCATTCTCCTCACTATTCTCCGCCTCCCCCTCATTGTCGTCTTCCTCCAGGAGATCGAGCTCAGATGTGGTCGAAGCGGAACTGCCCATTGGAGACTCTGCCCCTGAATATTGCAACAAATCCCACTCCGGCATGTAACCATCCCAATCCGGAGTGTCATCATCAACGGTCGATGTCGATGTATCCAATGTGTTTATCTCGCCCGAAGTTGTCGAAACGGAATGACACTTCTTGCGCAGCTCCACCAACTCGGCAAGGATCTCGACCTGCTTCGAGGCAATCCTGGCAACCAGCTGCTTCAGGCTATCGATGGTGGACTCGCACTCGGTCAGCTTCTCCTTCAGCTGAGAGTTCTCGGCACGATAGGTGGCCAATTCCAAGGAGGCGCACAGAGCGATCTTGGTGTTGTCCGACTCGGCGGATTTGGTGCTAAATTCGGTCCAAGAACGACGAAATATTCAACAGTTGCCGCTATTACGAGCTACACGGATAACACTTACATGGACAGAACAATGGAGTCCCTGGCATGGGCCGAGGAAAGATGCGACATCTTGAGACTTAAAATTTTTTCGAAACTCAATTGATTATTTGTCTCAAAAATAAACCGACTTGGCTCAGATATTCTTTCGAATTTCTCCGAGAAACACTGATACTGACTTTACTAGCTCCGATTTGAATGAGAGCCAGTGGTATTATGAATCAAACAGTATTTTCAAGGCGACTATGATCTACATATCTAAGGGCCTTTTTAAATTCATTTTTTCGGGCAACTAGGATCATTCGGAGTTATTTTGTTTATTGGAAACCTTTCAAAGTCGTAATATGAGTTTAAGAGCATTTTTCAAGCAACAAGAAATTTTTAACCATTTTTCTGTTCACTGATTAGCTGGCAGCACCAATAGGTGTTGCTCAAAATGTTTTCTGCAACATTTTACGTTTGATTTAAATTTTTCCATCATTTTAGCATTGTACATATATCCTTTGGCAAGTAGGATTTTTCTGGGTTGTTATAATAAAGTTATATATTTATACGAGGTATATAAGCTTTTTTCATATGTACTTTGCCAAATAGAAACATTCTCAAATATGTTTCATGCTCAACATGCTACCGGCCACATTGTCTTGTGCCTTTAGCCATATTAAATTGAACATCATAGACAATGCTTTTATCTTTTGCAACGTACCGTTGCTTTCGTACTTTGTGTTCTTTTTTTCAGTGTACGTAAGTCGCTATGTTATACATTGCAAATATCTTTAATCTACTGATAACCCATTTAAATCCAAAAAAAATGGAGGTAAACAATCAACGAAAACAAAGGTGGGCGAACTTTAATTAAGCTCGCAAAGAACAATAAAAATCGCCCGATCTCGTCTATATAGCTATTGATAATTCGAATTCAAAAATCTGATTAGACAAACAAATATATACAAATTGTGAGCTACTATGTCGTTGTAGTTGTTTATAGATGATAAAAAAAATATCTGAAGGAAATATTTGCCAAATGTTGTTATGCAAAAATATAAAAATCTTTAAAGTAAGAGAAAATTTAATGAAAGCACCTATTTTTGTATGTAGATTTTCTCCTGTATTTTATGTAAATTAACCAAAAATAAAAAAGTGTTAAGATTTACAATTCCAAATGCGTTTCAAATTGTGTGTAATGGGGGTGTGAGATTCTAAGATACAACAGTGGTTTTAATTAAGTCTTTTTCTTGGTTCTAAAATTGTTACCATTATGGTATTTTTGCCTTAAGTTTGGGTATTCTATTGGTTACTTAATATTATCTGTAAATCGGCATCAGCATGGCCTTTAGGTTGTGTAAATAATGAAATAATACCTATTGTGGAATTATTTGATTTTTATAAAGGAATGTATAAAATTCGTAAGGGAAAGGAAAGTATTCTTTTGAGCTCGGAGTCTGAGATTCTTTTACTTTTTAAGGCGAACAAAGAAGATACAATCTTTCGTCGAAATGATTCTTCTTTGGAATGTATACATATTCGAAGGCTTGCTCTTAATAGTTTTAAAGATCTCCTATAAATTGTCTTTTAAATCATGCTAAACGCATGAAACGTTATTTACTTTACTAAAATTAGTAAAATATTCGAGCGAGAGTCAAGGCACTAGTTGGACGGTTTCTATTCCACAAGGGGAAATTAAAATTAATGGTATTTTACTTAGCTTATGGACGGCTTTTGTCGAAATTAATAAATCAATTGTTGGATAAAGGGATGTGGTTACTCGAGACTAAGACCACGGCATAAGCCATACTGTCATGCCCAAGAGTGCAATACCCAGGGTCCAGTGTACACCATAGCCCTGCCTTAAAGTTGCTCCGCTAATCACAAAGTAGTTGCAGCGGTCGCCCTGACAGCACTCGTTGCACGCCCAATCCTCGTACCAGATGTGGGTGCAGTACAGCTGCATGTACCGCTTCCGCTTGGACTGGCACTGCTCCTTGGTCATGCAGCGCTTGGACACGTAATACTGCTTGAGGGCTCCCTCCGAGAAGTATGGCTGCGATCCCCAGCGGATCTCCGTGCCGCAGACATTTTCAAAGGGCTCACAGGTCTTGATGGTGTTCAAGCATTTTTCTGTGTTTCCCGTCTGGTTGGAGCACACATTGCACTCCAAGCCGGCCACAAAACTCACTTGCGAGCACAAGTAAACGGCAGCGACGACCACCAGGGCTATCTCCCAGGACTTCATCTGCACCAGCTGGATGTACCGGAAGTTTTGGGCGACTTCTATTAGCTTGCAATTGATAAGCAAAGCCGTAAAACAACGCAATAAATTAACAAACAAAAACCACTCCCAAAAATAACAAAAGTCGCGTGAGTTTAACAACCCTAAAAAGGTTAAATGTTTTTATCTATGAATAAAAGTATTTACAGGAGCAAACAACTGGAACGCTAAAAATTGGCGTTCAAAAATATGCTAAAATAAAATGCCAGATGTATCAACTTTGGATACGATTTTAACAAATTCTAAGCACCATTGCATTATTCTGTGCTTCAAGCAGGAGAGGCTCGGCAAGGAAATGCCCCTAGAAAACACTTAAATTCGTTTCGAAAACATTTTTCAGACAAATGGGATCATTCTAAGATATTTATCAATATTGTTCCTGATCGTTCTCATCCTGTTTTAAGCAAATATCAAGTTGGGATCAAATGGGATCATTCTAAGATATTTATCAATATTGTTCCTGATCGTTCTTATCCTGTTTTAAGCAAATATCAAGTTCGATGGCACCCCTGTAAATATTTTGTGACTTACTGGTTGGCTTTTGGACACATTCTTTCGCATTTGTAAACTTTTGAAACGCACTGGTCTTCTCTTGTAGATAACCTTCCGCTGGGTACTACAGCTGCTTGTACCAGAACAAGAGTTTACTTTGCTCCTGGGTTTTCTAGGCCTCGGGTATGGACACTTTGGCTTTCGGTTTATACGCCTTTGACAGGAGTATTTTAAATTAGATTTTTTGACCTGCGGGTATGAAGAATCATAAGAAATAGAATTGACAAGGTGACTTCAAACAATTATTCCGGGTAACTCTGTTTCCATTTCTTATTAGTTAAACAGAGGGCAAATGGTTCCTTCTAAGCTACTTTTAGAATACTTGATTTTTTGATTTAGGAATATACTCTCACCTTTGACCGACATAATCTCTTTCCCGTTTCAGTTAATCTCAGTGAGTAAACGGACTTCACACTTTGGCTCTGGCTATTATCAAAAGAACACATTTTTCACAATAAAATTTTTAACTTTTTTTAACTTTTGTCCACAAACAATTTAAGAATTTTAATTACTTTTCACAAAGAAATTTAGAGCAAAGCCTGCTTGTTTCAGGAATTTATTTGATAAATGGAAACAAGTATTTATCGATTTAATACAACTTTCCCGTTGGCCTTATTTTATTATGATGTATATATATATATATATTACACTTTTGTTAAAAACTTTTTGTTTGTTTAGTCTAATCAACAAGCAGTTTAACTTGAAACTTACAGCTAATTTGTAATTACTTTTAGCCGTATTAATTAAGCGGGAGTCCAACCAGAGGCTCCGATTATTGCTTCGAATCTTAAATATCAGCTTATGGACTAATTGATTTCTATTCACGTTGCGCATGGACGCAGGTCCATGCCACTAACTTGGCTAATACTGGCCACATCCAGTCGGTCCAATCGAGGCTGTGATCCCTCATCTCCTCGCCGGTCCTCACAACGCTAGCAAAGGTTTCAATTGGTTAATAGTAGGCCTGCTTTATGGCCGCACTGGTGATCAGGAAAGCAGAGCCGATCAGCATGAAGGTGATGATTTTGAGGGCACTGGGTCTACCGGAAGAATCTGTTCAAGAATTACGAATATAAATGAGATTAAGAATACTTTAAGGTAATTTAAAGGCATTACTTTTCTTGCTGGGCATCATGCACTGTTTCTGATTGGAGCTCGTCTGGTAGCCGACCTTGCATTGACAGACTGAGTTGCGGCACTCCACATTCTCGGGATCCTTTTCGATGTAGCACTCCGTGGCCTTGGTGCAGGATTCGCCCAGCTCTATGGGGCAAGAGAAAGATATAACATAGGGCTGTATTCAGGTATTATATGTAAGTTGAATTACCCCGCTTCGTCTCACAGATGCCGTTCTTTTCGTGCTGCTCCTCTGTGCATCCACACTTGCCCTCCGAATTGCAGCTGGCCAGGAGTGGCTTGCACTGCTCATCCTCCACGCACTCATCGTCCAGCTCCTCAGCTGTAAGGATATAAACCAAATGGTACAATCATCTATAAAGTTTTTTTGACTATGAACTCCCACCTTCCTTGAGGCACTGATCCTTAAAGTGGACATAACCCTTCCGGCACTGGCATGTGCGCGACTGCTCCTCCTCCTCTGCTTCATTGTCCTTGGCTGCGCAGGTTGTGTTGTCGGCTATGCAATCGTCCTCCTCCGAGCAGTCAGCTCCAATGCCCCGCACACAGGTCTCGTCCTTCTCAAAGTAATGATCCGCGCAGACGCACAAGCGATTGGAGCAAACGGAATGATCCACGGGGCAGGCATCGCTGGACTCACACTCGGCTCCCAAACCTTGCTTGTACTCGCACAGCTGCTTGATGGCATCGTATATGGCGTACTCCTCACAGGTACAGCGCCTCGGAATCTCCGGGTGGCAGTAGGAGGCACCAAAGGGACTGCATTGGCTGTTGGAGGTGCACGACAGGTGATATTGGATAGCTGTCAATGGGTAGAGAAGAAGGGAAGTGTTAAGGTTTCCTCTGGAACAGGCTAACTATCTACACACGTTTCCGGCAGTTCCGCAGATCCCTCTCGTAGAAGTAGTTCTTTTGGCAAACACAAGTCTTGGACAGTTCATCAAACTCGTACTCGCACTCATCCGTGCTCTCGGCAATCTCTCCCAGCTCTGTGGACAAGTCGAAGGAGCTCGTTAAGTACATAGATCATATGAAGAGATCTCAGTATCACCTACCTGCAAAACATTTTCCATTGCGGGCATAGTAACCCTGCCGACACAGGCAAATGTTCTTGGAGCAAATTGAGTGCGGTAGCCCAGAACAGGTCTTTCCATTGTCCGTGCAGCTGCTACCATCTAAAGACGAAAAACAAAGCAATATTATTTTCCTCCCAGCTTAAGGACTTTTTGAGGACTACTCACACTTCTTCTCATCGGCATCATCATCATCGCGACTGGATCCCAGTGTGGAGTAGGTTTTGATGTCCTCGTCATCGAAGCGGAAGAGGGCGGGCAGGCGGCGACGCCTTTGGTTGTGGCTCAGGCTGTGGCTTTGGCTGTGGCTCTGGTTGCGGCTGGAGGTGCGCCGGCTGCTGGTGCTGGTGGATGCTGTGGCGGTGGCCACATTTCTCACGCTGCGCAGATCGCGCATCTCGTACTTCTCGATGCTCGTCTGCACGGCGATCTCGTGGGAGCGCGGCGAAATAAGTGGCTCGGTGTCGGCGCCATTGGTGAGCGCCGCGAAGGACACCTGGGCAGCAACATCGTGGTGCGTGGGCGGGGGAGCGTGTACAAAGGCCTTGGTTAGCTGCCGCCGGCTCCTGAAGGCGGTCGTCGTCGTCTCCGGTTCCGGTTCCGGGGTCTCGGTGACAGCCTCCGCTGTGGTCGAATCCTCGGTGGTCTCCTCGCCCGGTTCCTCGGTGGTGTCCTCGCCGCCGGGAGTAGTCGTAATCTCGTCCACATAGGTGCATACTAAGCCAACGCATTCGGCACCGGCGCCCAGTGCATCACAGTCCTCATTGACGACGCAGGCATCGTTTTCTTCTGTAAATGAAATACATATTTTCGTGCTTAGTGCTTAGGCTCAATCCCATCCCGGATCGTACTCACCCATTGATTTGCGACGACATATGTTTCCATATCTATTATAATAGCCATTTGCACAGCGGCACACGTTTTGCTGACAACTCACAGAGGAACGATCGTAGGCAAAGTAGCAGTCCAAGTCCTGAAAGGCAACTCAACTAGGAAATGGTTCGGACAATGTCTGGAGCTCGGAAGGACTCACCGTGTCGCAGGACTCCCCGAGTCCGTTCAGTGGGCGGCACTTGCCACGTAGATAGGTTTGGCCATCGGCGCAATCGCAGACCCCGGCTTTACAACTGGCCCCCGTTGGCATAAGATTGCACTGGACGCTATCGTCGCACCGGTCACCAACGAGCGCCGTCGCCAGGCATTGCGTGAAGTTCTCCGCGAGCACCGCGTCGAATGTGGAGCACTCGCACTGCCCACTGGCCAAGTCGCAGCTCGAGCCGTCAGCTGTGCAGTCCGCCTCGCTTTCACATGGCCAAAATACGGCCGACGCGCCGCCGTCGCCTGCAATATTCAATGGTCGGGATTGTGGGGTCAAGAAACGGCGGTAACTAGTGCCAACCATGTTAGTAAGACCCAAAGTTGCCTATTTAAATATGTTCGCCTCATGCCTCATGCCTCATGCCAGACGACCCAGTTTCGGATCCGCTTCGGGACCCATTCCACTCAATTATTCAGGGCCGTATTAAGTTCTCATCCTCGGAAAATAGCGTTCTCAACTTTTCTGCCTTGCACAATTTTGGTCACCCGTGATAGGTCTAAGTTGCACCCCACAAACCCATATTTTACAATACCACAGCGTAGTATATTCCATTTTATGGATCAATTATCAGCGCTTGAGCATGCGACTCGCGATTTAATAGACACATTTTTCTCTAAAAGCTCAATTATTTCTTAAGTCTTTTGTTTTACACAAAATTAATAATTTTTATTAATATATTTAAAATTACTTTGATTTAAATTTATTTAACAAAAGGTACCAAAAGGTAAAGGACTCGAGTTTTTATAGTGTCTGAGAATATTACCTCATTATGATAGACGTATAGATATTACATGCCTAAATCTAGTCACCTTTTGATACTGATAATAAATTAGAATATAGGCAGATAATAATAAGAATATCAATATATAGATAATATTTCACAAATGCCAATACATATGTAAATAGATATACCAACGTTGCGGTATGTTTCCGATAAATCGGCGAGTTTTAAAGAAAACCTAAACATTGTGGAATATAATTACATAAAAAATTACATAATTGTATTACATTGTATTGCATTGATATTAATATTAAATTGAAATAAAATATTTCTCGATATTAAACTTGTTTTCTTATTTAACTTTACGATAATTTCAATGTGATTTGAAGAGAGAATATTTTAAAATATATATTAACCAATATTTTTCTTCTCTCTCTTCAAATGGTAAAAGGTACAGGTTAGAAAGAAACAAAACCCCAAATTAGATCAGATCTGTTTAAAATGTGAAGTGCAGTTATGACAATCATATTTAACATTAACTAAACATTAACAATATCTATATATATATTGTTTTCTTTGGTGATTTAAAAATCAGTAATTCAAAAACGAAAATATTCCGAAATACAAAATATTTTCTAAAACTACCTATTATATAAACCGAATTATCTGTAAAGTTTCTCTAAAATTAATAAAATAGTTTGCCCAGAAAAGGATATAAACACAGATGCCTGTTGATACTGATCATAACTATATACATGAACTTAATAGGACCCTATTAAAATCATAGTACAATTTGAAATCTATAATTAAATGAACAATTTAACGAAACTATTGATTTTTAATTATGTTTACATGGTGAGAGCTTAACAAGTAATCATTCCTACAAGAGAAAAATAAGTAAGAAATATAAAATGTATACCGAACATTTTAATTGTAAATAAAAATGTTAATTGTAAATATTAATTGTCAAATATAAGTTTTTCCCTGTGCAGCCTATTCGCTATATTCCCTTTCAATCACAATCCCAATCAATTCTCAATTGATTGAGCAGCCTCGTCAATCTTGGCGGTGCCACGCCCACTTATCCACCTCTCCAGCTGATTATTAAATTTATAGAAACCGACCCCGAGAGCTGTAACCGAATTCCCCGCGTCTGGACGGCAAAAGCTTCTCCTGACACGCAACGTGTCGGGGCCGCAATTTATTACGTATACGCCAACGACTTCCGGATGAGGTTGCGGCAAACGTAAAAAACTACAAAAATTTCCATGCAAAAGAGTATCAACGCAGCCGCAGGCAAAAACAAAAAAAACAATAAACAACAAAAAAAGAGCGAAAAACTATAACAATATCGCAAAATAGAAGGAGTACTGGAATTCGCTCGACGCTTTGCTACTTTAATTTCCATTTTCCGTGGCCGGCAAAACAATTTCTCAAGCCGCAAAGGACCTTGGGACCTGGACGGTGAACGG